ACAGAGTCTTTCTCTTTGTCTCCCATGAAGCTTTGATGGTGAAGATCAGCCAACAGTTGCATGAACAGTCTCCTTCATTTTAGGTGCTGAAGCTTGTTGCTGTGACTTATCTAACCTTTTAGATTGTTGATTAATTGACGTTTCTCTGCATAAATCAGCCTTTAATTGTAAATTCCTGTTTTTTTAAAAAAAAAAGGCCAAACTGACCGTGTTCCTCATTCTGACTTTGAGCTTCAAATTTCAGCATCAAAACACTGATTTCTACATTATTGTTTATGACTATCGAGCTGCATATGTCTGCATTTAAACTGTTTTCATACATTTTATATTCATGTTTAACTGCCTAAATGCAGATTTTATTTTATTATATTATTGAGGAATTAGATGTTTTCGCTGTTTGTGATGTTCATGGTGAAGCTATAAAAACATGCAGCCTGTTAACACAAATAAAAAGAAACTAAGAAGGAAATTGATGCATCTTTACTGTTAAAGGCCTTTTTAAAAAAAAGCAAAGTGAAACCACCTCCATGCAGCTCCATTGTCCTGTGCTGCCAGTAGATGGGGGCAGTCAGAGTGCAGCCTGGTGCTGCAGAGTCCCGGGAAGTCCTCGGACCACCCCGGATAGTCTGAGAGGAGCTTCCTATTGGTCTGGTCCGAGCTGAGGTGTCAGATGTCCGTGGATCCGTGAACGCAGCCTGAGAAAAGTTTGCCAGGGTGGGAGTTTGTGACTTTGTTGTTGTCACGGTGCACAAACTGCTCATTTAGCGCCTTGTTATGCACAAGACGGACTTTGCTAAAGCTTTCTTGCCGCTCTGACAGCTCGCTGGAGGTTCTCTGGTTGTTTTTGGCACCAACATGTCGGAGCAGAGCGCAGACAAACCGCCGCTCAGTCCGGAACAGAACGGCGACTCTGTGAACCCCAGGGCGGTCTGTCCCGCGTGTCGACGGCTGTACCGGGACCCGCGGATCCTGCCCTGCCTGCACACCTTCTGCTCGGACTGCATCGCCCAGCTGGAGCCCTTTTCCGCGTCTCCGCCGCGCGGCCGCCGCGACGCGCCGGAGGCGGAGGACCGAGCCGCCGTCACCGTGCTCTGCCCCGACTGCGACTCCGAGGTGGACCTGCCTCCGTCGGGGCCGGCCGGGCTGAGCGTCGACCACCTGGCGCTGGATGAGGTGTTCCTGGAGACGCTGGTGAGCGACGGGCCGCTGGGCTGCGACCTGTGCGGCGAAGGAGGCGCCGAGAGCCGCTGCGAGGTTTGCTGCGTCAACCTGTGCGCGTTCTGCTGCCAGGCGCACAGGTAGGCACCAGATGATACAGCCAGTGATCAGAAATAATCTGAAATAGAGAAAAAACTGCTGAGTTATGGTCAGAAAAGTTTATTTTTAGATGGATCAGTATTTAAATAGCTGAAATGTTGAAAACTATGTGAATAAATCAACTTTATTCTGGTTTAAATTGACAGTTAATGTGGAAATGTTGCCTCAGTATACAGCTGAAGCAGCTCCTATAAAAAGTATTCACTTCTTTGTCAGTTCACTCTTTTATTGCTTTTCAAAACTGAATCGTGCTCATTTTAATCTAACTTTAAAGGTAAGATTTTACAGGAAAAGACTCTTTCATGTCAAAGTGAGAAGAAATTTCTACAAGATAAAAGCAGATTAATTAAATATATTAAATGTAAGTGTTCACCTGCTTTCAGATGAAGTTTGAGGCTCAGTGCCAAAGAGAGAAACGTGTTTATGGTCAGATCCTGGTTAGTTTAGTTTAGTTTGGCATCTTGAAAAGAATTCACCCCAGAAAAGCCTCTTTAATGCCAAAGTGAGAGAAGATATTTTTAAAGTAATACCAGATTCATTAAGCGGTTGTTCAAGTATTTACTCTTTTATTTATGTGAAGCACTTTGAGTTGGACCTGCTGTATGAACTGTTCTATACGAACACATTTATCATCATTATTAGTCCTGTTATTTACAGATTCACGATGTGTGGGTCCTTTTTTATGATTTTCTAGTCTGTGTTTCACGCCTCACAGCCAGCAGCAGATAACATCAGCTTTCCTGCTACATTTATAACCACATCTTAGATGAAGGAGCCTTTGTGTTATTTCTATGCATCTCACATGCCGTCCGTCCCGTTTGCAGGCGTCAGAAGCGAACAGCGTCCCACTCCGTTCAGGCTCTGGAGGACCTGAAGGCCCGAGGGCGCCTCTGCCGGCCCGTCTTGTGCTCGCTGCACCCCGGCCAGGAGCTCCGGCTCTTCTGCCAGCCCTGCGACCTCCCCGTCTGCCTGGAGTGCGCCGCCACGCTGCACCGCGACCACCGCTGCTGCCCCACGCAGGACGTCATCGATCGCCACGGAGACCGCATCCGGGAGCTGGTCGCCGGGCGGCTGCGTCCTCGACTGGAGCGTCTGGAGGAGTCGCTGCAGAAGGTGAAAGATGGCTGTTCCTCCGGTTGTTTTTAAATGTGAAATGAGCAGCTCAGTGTTTATCTGGTGAAGCAGCACCATGACAAAGACTTCTGTGGCGCTTCATGACTTTCAGACAATGTTAATGAGTTTAGGTCTTGAATTCTGCTTCTAGATGATGTAATAACTCACGAACCAGCTCCTCCATCATCCTTGTAGCCTGTCGGGGCTCAACTGATTCGTCCAGCTTTACGTTTTGTTTTTTTTAAATCTACCTTCAATTGTCCTCCTGCTGCAGGTGGAATCTTCCCAGGAGGCTCTGCAGACGCGAGTGGAGGCGACGGCCAGCGAGGTGAGGGCGTTCGCTCGAGGCTACGCCAGCGCCGTGGAGCAGCACTGCGTGGCGCTGCTGCGTCGCCTCGAGGAGCTCCGAGTCCAACGAAGGTAGGAAGTAACCGACGAGTCACGTCTCTTAATCTCATTGTACATGTGTATAGTGACAATAAAGGCATTCTATTCTTTGGAAAGCAGCGTGTTTTTGAGAAGGAAGTTCTGTATCAAATGTTGTGTTGACCCCCACATCAATTTTCTCAACACCTGTCTTGTCATTCCCGTCCATCCTGCAGGAACCAGCTCCACCTGCAGGGGGCGCAGCTGCGTCAGGCGCTGCTCGACGTCCGTGGCGGCGTCGAGTTCGCCGAGCGGCTGCTGAGCTGCGGCTCCGACGCCGAGATCCTCAGCGCCAAGGGGGTGACGCTGAGGAGGCTGACCACCCTGTCGGAGCGCGGCTACGACCCCCGCCCGGCAACCGTCGCCCCCGACGACGACGACGGCATCTGCTTCATGGCCAGCGAGCCGGCGGGGGAGGTGGAGGGATACCCGGTGGTCGGAGTGATCAACTCCAGGACGGTGGACGTCAGCAGGTGCACCGTCGAAGGAGAAGGTGAACCAAGCGTCAGAGTCAAACTGTTTATGAACCACTGTTCATACAAACAGGATGTAAAACAACAGAAATAATTCAGGTTCTAAATAAAAGACTCACTAAAAACATGAACTTTATGTGTTTGCAATCAACAAACACCAGAAAAAGTCCAAAACCAGAAGCGCAGAACAAAACAATGACAGAAAAGTTCACAGAAAGTTTCTCCTGTTTGAGTTAACGGCAGAATCCAGCTGCTTGAGGAGGAACTTCACAGGTTTGGCCTGTTTTCTGTCTTATCAACATGTAAATTTACACTTTTTTTTCTGTTATTTTACTTTTTATAGTCTGAATTTAACAAAAAGGTGCAGTCAAGAAAATATTTACCATCTCATAATTTAAAATGTCCCTCATTTTTATTTCAAACCACGATAAATATCTAAAAAAATAACTGTTTCGTTGCTGATTTAACGACAGTATTTAAACAAAAAAACGTGTTTTTATAGTAAAGCAAAGTAAAAGAACAAATTATTATTTTGCAAAATGTGGACATGATTCAGTTTTGGCCTCAATAACTGAATTAAAATAAATTAAATAAACTCATGTGATTATATCAGATATTATCTGTCGGTTAATAAACTGAGAAAATCTGTCAAATAACATTTAAAAAATCACTTATTTAATATTGATGTAATTTCTTAGAAATAATTTGAATTATTTAACGAAAAGTATTTTTTTTTGCTGATTTAAATACAGTAAATAAAAATAAAAGTCTAATTTTACAGTCCAGTACATTAAAAGAACAAACTGCTCTTTTAATGTGGATGTTTTTTAGTTTTTTTTAGTTTTTATCTGCAATTTAACAAAACAGGAAATCTGAGAAACAACAGTCAAAAAAATTCATAATCTTAAATTCTACATAATTTTTCTTTCAAATAACAATAAAAATCTATAAAATAACTGTTGTTTTTGCAGATTTAACTACAGTATTTTTTTTTTTTAAGTCATTTTATGTTAAATCAGTGTCAAACAGAACTGGTTCAGGAATCACTTTACATTTCTAACATGTTAAAACTGCTTCACCGTGTTCAGTCGGAACCAACTGGGTCGATGCTGGAGTCATAAATCCTCGTTTTTGGTCTTTTAAGTGAGAAAACTGGAGATTAGACGAAGCAGTTTGTCTGCTCGACGCCTCCTGCAGCAGATAAACACTGTTGTTCCCTCGGCGGCTTCAAAGCAAACATTCCTGCGGGATGGAAGGAACGCCGGCGGCCTGAGGGCATGTTTGCTCACAAACACGCCGCCGAGGGAAGCTTCAGGTGAAGGCAGGACGCTTTAGTGACTTGTTTGAGAAGCTGAAGACGAGAGGTGACCAGAGTTACTCACCAAAGGAAAAGAAAGTGAGCGAAAGAGGAATCGTGGAGTCGTTCAGACGCCACAGTTCCTCTTTCTGACGCGACCACAACGTCAAGCCACAATATGGTGACCTCTGACGGGTTCACAAGTTCAGCTGGGCTCTTTTACTGAGGAGGAAGACAACAGTCGTACATTATTACAGCATTAATAATAATAATAACAATATGTAGAAGTTTTAATTGATTAAGCTTCACCTGATCACTGCCAGCGCTGCAGCTAATCATTGATTCTGTTATCGGTTGATCAGAATCAGCTTCATCGGCCACGTAGGTGAATTCATACGAGACGTTTGGCTCTCAGAGGACTTTTAAAAGGACTTTACAGCAGATTAAAGAGGAAAAATTAACTTTTATTACGATGCACAACTGCAGATATGTGCCCAAAAACATACAAGTAAACTCATTTAATCTTAAAGTAAATTAATCTGTTGATTATTTTCTCGATTCATTGTTTGGAAAATGTTGAAAAACATCCGTCAGCGTTTCCTAAATCCCAAGATGACGTCTTTAAATGGAGTTTGCCTTTGTCCCAAGCCCAAATAATTCTGGCGTACAGGAGGAGAGAAACCAGAAGCTGTTCATGTTTAAAAAGCTGAATTTAGTCGATTATGACTTTAGTTGTGGAGAACTGATCGGTGAGTCGCTGCAGCTCTAATCATTAACACACATTTGCTGCGTCTCTGTTTCATAGCGACGTGAGTTCAGCGTCTTTGGAGGAAACTGATGATTTTTTCCGTCTGTTTTTGACACTTTATCGACCGTGTTGTGTAAAACTACTTCCTGATCATGACGCGGTGGTGAGGAGGACACCGGCGGCCGCTCAGAGTTCTGCAGCAGCTTTTCTTCTTGGTCTGGAGCTCAGATTAAAGCCGAGTTTACGCTGAGACGAACACAGAAACCAAAGCAAACAGGAGTCGATGTCGCGCTGAGCTAATGTTTGTCGTGTTTTCTGTTCGGCTGCTTGTCAGAGTGTGAATTAGTCGGTTTGTGTTTGGTTTGTTCAGCACGTTGACCTCAGCGACCTCTCAGCAAACGTTTCCTTTGTCTGCAAACATCTGGCAGCAAAGAAACAGTGTTATACTGGAACAAACAAATATCTGTATGGAATTTATTTTAGTCCATTTAAAAGTAAGAATACAGATTTGTACAGTTTTAGGCTTTTTTTTTAAGGTTTTCTAAATCAAATTAAATTCACTAATTTTATACTTTTTTCAGGGTTTTCACAGATTAATTACTAAAATTTAACAAAAGTGTGAAAATCTGTAATATAAAAGTAAAAATAGAATAATTCTCAGTCTGTAATATACTTTTTTTTCTTTCAAATTATGGCAAATATCTAAAAAATATATATGTTTTTTGCTGAATTAAATACAGTTTTTTGTAAAAAAAAAAAAAAAAAAAATGTTTTTTGCTGAATTAAATACAGTTTTTTGTAAAAAAAAAAAAAAAAAAGTCTAATTTTACAGTCAAATGTTTTAAAAGAACAAACGACTGTTTATGAAAAAAATACAGATTTTTTATGAAGATTTTTTTTTTACAGTTTTTTAATTATTATTGGCAAATTACTAAAACAGGAGAAATCTGTAAAATAAACAGCAAATTGTTCAAAAATGACCCTTTAATCTCTAATATTAAGGGTTCATGTTTCACAGCCCACCGACTCCTGATGTGTGTCTTTCAGGCTTTTCTTCTTTGAGCAGCGTCAACGTGTGAAATCAGATAAACTCTCGTTAGAGGGTCAGATAACGGCCACAGAGTCCTGCAAGAAAGTAGAAAACCACAGAGGCTTACTGCCGGTTATCTCCTCGGAGCGCGAGTAGAGGCTGAGAGGCGCTGCACAGGTGCATTGTGGGCCGCGACTGTAACGGCTGCAGCAGCTTAGCGGGACGTAAACGTGATGCGTCTGTTAGCAACGGCGGCTGCAGATGAGCTGATTCATGTTCTACAATCCTGAGTTTCAAGAAAAACAGAAGGAAAAATCTGCAGAAAATAGTGATGATTTTCCAACTTGTTGATGCAGATGAATGCAAGCATGGTTGTAGCATACATTCTTTAAAATTACTTTTATTTTATTCAATTTTCCTTTTTTTCCCATCTCCAATCTTTCTGTTTTCCGTTTATACTGAGGGAATCATTCCATGTAAGAAGCTGAAATCTTACCTTTTGCTTGATAAATGTCTAGAAAGAAACTTTTTGGCATTTCAGAAACGATAAAACAGAAAAGCTAATTGTGGTTCACGTTCAGAATTTTCTTTTTTAACTGCGTTTCAAAGCTCAAGACTCAGAAAAAAAACCCTTAAATGAACTCGTTACTTCCAGTTCGAGCAAAAACAGCTTTTTCTGTCTGTTTGAGTTTTGAGAGACGAGTCGAATGAACCAGAAACTCAGTTTTAGCACATGAGCTGCGAGTTTTTGCTGCTTGGTTCTTAACAGCAGCTTAATTCCTTCCTTAACTCTTCTGTTCATCCCCTCTGAGGTAGATTCATCAGCGACGGCGGCGTCTAAACCCTGCAGACCAACGCTGGATGATTAGTTGTACGACGGCTAACAGACCCCGACAGGGAACGCGGCATTAATCACCAACGACGTTTGCTTTAACGCGACAACAAAACCTGATGAATGTCTTCAGCCGCTTGATGAAACTCTGAATAATGACGAGAGGGTTTTGTGGAAACTCAGCTGAAGTCACACCGTCATGCGTTTGGAGGGAAAGCGACTCAGTTTTGTGGGTAAAAAGTGAAGACAAATGTCCAAGAGCGTGTCCACGTTTGTGGTGCGTCCGGATGATGAAGAGCCTCTTTAGTGCAGCACAAAGCTCTCAGGAAGCAGAGTCCTGCCTCGACTGTTTGTGCTGAAAGAAACCGTTCAGTGTTTACTGCGTCCATGTTTGTGCGTCTGTCCTCACATGAACTTGAATCTGTAGTCGTATTTTTTATTTAATGTGAGCATCTGAGAGAGTTTTTTATTCTTTAACAAAACTTTGGAGGAGGTTTTGAAGGAGGAGTTTTCTTTTGCAGCACCAAAGTTGCTTTTGGTACCACTTTTTATTAAACAATTGACACACTATGAGTTACAAAACTGTGATTTTTCTTTTAGCCCAGTAATAATATCATAGAAGTCTTCCAGTTGGGACACTACTGAAGTCATACCTGCTTAACGATTGCCCTAATATTGGCCATAAATGCACATTTTTCTCATTAAGTAGCCTTTGATTGGCATTTTTAAAGCTCCTATTGTCATGGGACTAAACAAAAAAAAGCCTCTTATGGTGAAAAATAAAGATTTGATTTTTGGTGGACTATCAGAATAGACATAAACGTGGATGTTTTTTGACCAAATTTGCACCGTCATAGCACTGGTTTGTGTTGTTCGATCAAATGAGGGTTGGATCATTGGAGACCACATGTACACATCAATAAACCTGCAAAGTTTCAGGACTTTATCTCGGTTTTTTCTCCAGTTTTGGCTCTTCAAACATCGATCCGCTGATTGGAGCAAAGAAAACGGTGCAAAAATGGACATGGACCCCCTTCTTTAAGAGTTTTTGACTCAAAAACTAATGTTACACATGAGACCAGATGTACCATGTGGTCAGCTCGATCAATATTCATCACGTTGAATACGAATCAGTCAAACTGAAGATGGTCAGACGTGGAGCATTCAGTGAATTGAGGCAGAATGACTCGTCTGTAGTTGTAGCGTCGGAGGTTTTTCAGTCTTTAACAGCAGGTTGAAGGAGGCGACCTCCTGCTTCAGTCAGCTGTTCAAGATGTTCAACAAATGAGTGTTGGTGCAGTTTTAGACAGCCGTGTGGCCTCTAACCTCTAACCTCTAACCTCTAACCCCGGTGGCCTCAGGTCTTCAGAGGGGCGTCCAAGGCCAGAGAGGAACCTTCACCCTGGTGTGCCGAGACCCGGCCGGAGAGCAGATGGCTCGAGGTGGAGAAAACGTCCAGGTCAGCATCGTCCACAAGGACAAGAAGAACTGGTGAGTCCATGACTGAGTGTGTGTGGCCGCTTCTGATTCAGCTAAGTTCCACAAAACCAGCTGCCAAAGCGTTTCTATATTAGTGTGGAGACGTTTTAGGGTCAAGTTTTATCATTGACCCAATGAGTAAATATGGACGGAGCAACTTTTCAGGTTGGAGACTGGATCTTCTAGATATGGGGGGTGGGTTAGAGGCTGAAACCAGAAGTTTACATCCACTGGATAAAAAGACATCAAACCTTTTTTTTTCCCACCGGCCGAAAATAAAAGAAAACAAAACGGTCCCGGTTTAAGATCAGCAAGAATAACCACGAAAAGCCACAAAAAGCAAAAAGAAAGAGAGAGAGAAAATGTTTTATTACTTTCTTCAAAGTCAGAAGTTTACATCCACTAAGATGCCTTCAAACTATTTGGGAAAAAGGAGAAAGCTTGAAGCCTGAGAACACCATCCCATCTGTGAAGCACGGGGGTGGCAGCATCATGCTGTGGAGGGACTGGTGAACTTCACACAATAGATGGCATCATGAGGAAAGAACATGATGTGGAGATATTGAAGAAACATCTCCAGACATCAGCAGGAAGTTAAAGCTTGGACACTAATGGGTCTTCAGATGGACAATGACCCTCAGCATAGCTCCAGATTAGCTATAGAGAGGCTTCAGGACAACAGAGTCAGTGTTGTGGAGTGGCCATCACAAAGCCCTGATCTCCATCCTGGAGAACATCAGTGGAGCAAGGAGACCAACAAACCTGACCCAGTTCCACCAGTTCTGTCAGGAGGAATGGACCAGAACTCATCAGACTGTTGTGAGAAGCTTGTGGAAGGAAACCCAGAACGTTTGACCCAAGTCATAGAGTTTAAAGGCAACGCTAGCAGATACTGAGGAGATGGATGTAAACTTTTGGTTTCAGCTGTACGTATAAGATGAATGTAGCCGCTATGATGCACCCACTGGTTTGTGAACAACGATTCTAAAAATATCCATGAAAACCCAACAAGTACAAGGATTCCCTGAATTCCTAAGACTTGCATGTAATAATGAAATCGCCTTACGTCTTGAAGCCTTGAGATCTTAGTCTTTTAAAAGCCGACATAACGAGCACGCCACCCTGAAACAGACCCTGCTTTGTCCACTATTTTCCTCTAAACGGGTCCACATTTACTAAAAGAACATCATGATGTATTTGCAAGGTTTAAGAACGGGCCATTGACGCCATAAACTCATCAGGAAAATGTTCACGGAGCTAAAAGATCAAGTAAGAAGTCGGGACATTTTCTCATAGACTTCTGTACGATCTTGCAACCAGAGATGTCGCCCCCTGCTGGTCGTTAAAAGGAATTCAGGTTTCTGACTCGGACGCGACGTCCATCTTTTGCATGCAGTCTTTAATTAGGGCGAAGTGTGGAAACATGGTGTATAAAGTGAACTGAAACTAAAAACTGTTAAGAAAATGAACAAACAGCTGCTTAAGGGGGAAAAAAACAAGGACACTGGATTCCGGTTAGAGTCTGTTGAAGCCGTTACCTCGTCTGTTTGATTAAAACGAGTTTTATTCTGCCGTCTGTAGCAGGAAGTCTCAGCAGCAGCAGCAGCTTGCATGTAGGAGCCTTTCTGGTTAATTAACTCTTGCAGCCGTCCGATGTCGACACACGTGGGAGTTTCTCATCTGCAGCCTGTAATCTGAGGCGTTATGAAGCTGCACCAGGCTGCTGCTGGATGTCCACACCAACAGGATGTGACATTAAACTGACTGCTTCCACCTTCCAAACAACACGGCTTGTCTGTTTGTTTTAGTTAGTTTACTCGGTTATTGAGTGGAATGACATTTAGGAACAGCTTGGATGCACATATTTCTTTTCTTAATGCATTGCAGAGCTGTTTGGTTGTCACGCAGATACACTGGATTGATTTTAATAACTTTAATCTGCAGTAGACAACTGGCTTTTCTAGAAAGATGCTCACATTAGAGACTCCGTATTGGTGATCATCAGTCACATTTTACTAACAAGCTGACCTGTTTCCTGCAGCACGGTGGAGACGACGGTGGCGGACAACAGCGACGGATCCTACAGCGTTTCGTTCACACCTGAGGAGCCGGGAGTTTACTCGGTGTGGGTTTGTGTCAAAGCCCAACACGTGAAGGTACAAACCTGAGCTGTAATCTGCGTTTCAACGAGGCTCTTTATTGTCTTTGTTCAGCTGCGTGTTAACACAACGAGCTGACAGCCGGACAGAGCGTCGCCTCGGGGACGCTCACATCATCCTGACAAATTACACAATCCTGCACCCGAATGTCGACAGCGTTAGAGATGTTCAGTTTATCTCCTGGAATGTTTAACGAGTGAAACACCGTCAGACATCCTGAGTTATCAAGATTTAGCCACTCTGCTGTTTTTTTAACCCTCTGGTGGGTTTGAAAGGTGTGTTGTTCTGAAAATACCCCCAAAATCACACCATCTGTCACAACAAGACACTGAGAACACGCTTCAGTATCAAGACATTTCATCAAACTCACTTTATCCTGCAGGTGTCATTTGTTTTTTAAGTTTTTTTAGCTCCATCCAGATTCTGTAAAAATAAAAAAATTCTGCACTTCTGAACGCTTAACGGTTCCCTCACTCCTCATCTGGAAAAAATAACCAACTATATAACCAATATTTCATTTTTAATTGCCAATAATCCAAATTCTGTAAAAAAACAAAAAATTCTGCGCTCTCTGACGCAACTGGAAAGTCAAGAGTGATTCAGCTGTGACCTTCAGTCATGGAGGAAAAAATCTGGAAGTTCTCGACTGAACTGCAGGATGTTTAATACAAACAGATCGGAGACGAGTACAGGAATGAATTAAAAATCTAAGTTGAATATCTAAAGTATGTGGAGTCTCCATGTTTCCCAGTGTTAGTAACACGTGTGAATGTCAGTTTAGTACAATTTTTGTGAAATAAGCAACCAAGAGAAGAAATTCAACTTTTGTATTTTTCTTTTTTTTATATAATTTACGGCGTTATAAATGTTGTCACACTGCACGGAAGACATTTCAGAGTTCTCTCTCCTTCTTCACAGTATGTTGTCCTAAAAATATCCCCAAAACCACAGCATTAATCCCAACATTAATCACAGCATTAACCACAGCATGAACCAGAGCAGGACACTGTGAGGACATAAAGAATAACTGGTTGTATGTTTAAGTTGGTTCCTTAACTACTCGTCTAGGAAAAGTAACCAAGTCCACGCGTCAATATCAAGACATTTCATCAAAACCACGTCATTCTACGTGTGGCTTTTTTTTTTTTTATTGCCAAAAATCCAAATTCTGTAAAAAACAAAAAATTCTGCGCTCCCAGACGCAGCTGGGAAGTCAGGAGTGATTCAGCTGCGACCTTCAATCATGTAGGAAAAAATCTAGAAGTTCTGAACTGCAGGATGTTTAATTAAACAGATAACAGACGAGTACAGGAATGAATTAGAAGTGTCAGCAGTTAAATATCTAAAGTACGTAGAGTCTCCATTTTCCCGAGAGAAGAAATTCAGCTTTAGTTTTTTTTTTGCTTCTGGTCGAAGCAGCGTCGGCGTCCGTTAACCTCGACAGACAAACGGACCGACTCGGTTCTGACTCGGTTCTGTCTCCTCCTGCAGGGTTCTCCGTTTGCTCTGAACGTGAAGAGGAAGCTGAGGAGCCACAGCGGGACGTTCCACTGCTGCTCGTTCTGCTCCAGCGGAGGAGCTAAAGAGGCTCGATGTGGCTGCACAGGAACCATGCCAGGTCTGTCGGGGCGGCGCTGAGTAGAGATGAAAGTACTCGTCGATTTAGAGGAGGACGAGGAGGGAGATCAGTGGGACGGACAACCTGGAGTGACTGTTTCATTAGACAGCACTGGCGTCTATTTGTTCTCTACTCTACATGTGAAGTCACTGTTAAGGTTATTTGATGAATACGATCCTCAGAAATGCTTAAAGTCCCTCAAAAGTCATTGATTAAACCCCTAGAAACTCATCTCTGTGTGTGAAAATGACCAATTTAGAAGTTTTTTCCCATGAAAATAAGCTCTTTCTTTCTGAAAACGTCAGATAAAATACACTTAAACTTACAAAATCTCTGCTCAGAAGGCAACGAGCTCAACAGGTTGGCTCACTACGCATTTAAAAAATTAGAATTAAAGCCTAAAAATGTGTTTTGTTTAACAGCTTGATGCTTCAGATGCAGGTGGGACTCCTTCTATGTCGAGACGGCTTTACAAACAGAGTATTAGAAGCATTTTTTGGACTATTTTTGAAACAAATCAAACAGCTACAGGAGGATTTTCTCACCTGAAACTGTGACAGTCACGATTGAAAACCGCTGTTCTCTGCATTTACAGCAACATTCAGTGAAAAATTCGTAGGTGAAATCATGTTAGTTTATTATTCAGCAGTACAAGAATTGACAGACATAACGTCTCCTGATGCTCTGATCAAACCTGCTAATGAGGAAACATGTAGGCGTCTGTGCAGCTTTTGCACAAACTGGACATGAAGTAAGCTTTGTTTCTGAGCAGCTTTGTGCATTTTATTAAGATGATCACCTGGTTTAAAGTAAAACGTGCACGAGTTCAGTCTAAATCCTGTCGGGTTGAACAGCACAGTCCTTCACTTTCTGTCTCTTTTGTTCCCTAAAAGACTAAAACAAAAGACCTGATCCGGCCTCTGATGGTGTGTGTGTTCCTGCAGGAGGCTTTAAAGGCTGCGGTCACGGCCATAAGGGACACCCGGGGAAGCCTCACTGGTCCTGTTGCGGCAGCACGCTGCAGCAGTCCCAGTGTTTGCCTGCTAGCGTCCTGGCTGCAGTTTCCTCTCGCGGCCACCTGAGAACGGTGGAGCTGTGAAGGCGCCGAGACGACCCGTCCGGATGATGCAAGTCCGCGCAGGACGGCGGCAAGACAAGGTTTCCCGTTTGAAATCTTGGGACGACTGGAACAGATCAGACGGAGGAAGTGAAACTGTGAAGACACAGCGAGTGACGTAAGCCGACGGCGATGCAGCAGAATGTGAGATCAGCCCTGAGAGCTCTGGGCCTGTTGCTTCAGTCTTTATACATCACATAGAGACATGTTTATTACGCCCATGTTGGTGTCTTGTTCTCACCACATCACCTGGTTTATGATCTGACTATTATTGCTTCACTTTAACCAACTATATGAACATTTTGGGCTCAAAAACACACAAAAAATATAAAAATCTGATTTGAAAAAATATATTTATTACAATAAAAACCACAAACGTGCTGAACGAAGCATTTTGAAAGATGAAAATGTGACCATAGGTTCCAAATATGAACATGAAAAGATAGATTTGATATAAAATCAAACAAATACCGTAATTTCTGGACTATGAGGGCACCTGAATATCAGCCACACCCGCTAACTTTAAAAAGAAAACCAGTTTTGTGCATCTACAGGATGCACTTGTCTCTAAGCTGCAGGTGTCCACGTTGTAACATGAGATATTTACACAGAAAGATGTTTTTAACTTTTAATTCAATACGTACACGAATACGTGAGAAAAAGTAGCAGCTCATAGTCCAGACATTACGGTAATATACGAAGCAGGTGTGTCTTTCTTTCTGTTTTTATCGATTCCACTCCTGAAAACAGTTTGTGTCCAGAATGATGCACATCAGGAGCTGCACTTCAGGGACTTTCTTTCACTTTCGTTTTGTAAAACCACAAAAAATTCTAAAGATGTTGACAGAAATGCGACGCGTGTTTCATACGCAAGTTTTTTTTCACACGTTCATAGCATCATATCTCCGGTTTTACGTGTTCTATCGACGTGAAACTCAAACTGGGAGAGAGTTTAAAGTCTGAACTTTCAAGTGAAGGTGCCGTGACACCTCGAACATGTTTTATTATTATATGATGCTGGTGTGACGGCGGACCTCGGTGGAGGGTTCAGTCTTAAAGTGCCTTTTGGTCTAAACGCTGCTAAAGAAGAAAGACAATGAACATCTACTCCTGAATCTAATGTGTTAAAATGATGCAGTTTTCCTCGATAACACAACCTCCAATCTTGTACCGATGAGCCGTAGGACCCGGTTGTGCCGCCAGTAATGAACCACTTCGGTAAACAGAGAGCGTTCTGAGAGTTGAGCTCATAAAGGAGCACCGTGACAGAGACGCTTATGAGGTTTACTGACCTCAAGCCAAAAAAGAGGAAGAAGGTAGGACAGTGATTTCACATTTCTGCTGCACGTCTTACAGTCGGCTGTGCAGCTCGTCAACACATTTCTGCAAAACAACAGTTAAAAATAAGAAAAATATCCGTCATAGGTCGGAGCTGGTAGCTTCCAATTTCCTCTAATTCGATTTGGGACGTCCTGAAGAGGAAGATGTGCCGTGTTTGGTGTTTGGTTCGTCTTTCTGCCGTCAGACTGATTAGTTTAACCCTCAATCTGTTCCGTTAATCTGACGAAGCGGACTTTGCAGTAAAAGTCGTCTCACGAGGTTAAACAGACTGATGTTATGGCGATGTTACACATCCCACGTCTGAGAAGAATCACCACATAGCACAACTAAATAAAGTACAAATAAACATGAAATATAAATCCTCAAACACAACTACGAGGCTGTAAAACACACTGTAAAGTTTTGTTGATCAGCGTGTTTAGTAAAGAACATATTAAACAATCTACAGACTGTATATTTAGCATCAATATTCTACTTTTATTTAGACTTTTTTAGCGATGTCATGTATTTATAAAGATGTTTCCGTGTCAACAAATACCACCATGATGGTAGGGGTCACTTAGTGTCATCTCATTTCTGCAGCTTATTTGTTGTTTTGTCCTTTTCTGCTGCTGTACTGTCACATCTTCCTGCTCACGACATTATTACTGAAAAACACCTGCACATTTATTATTATTAGAATGTAGAATTTAATGCTAATGAATACCGACCAGGTGCGTAAACTTACCAAATAATTCGTACTGACCTCCTACGTATTTGTTGCGTCTATTAGAAGTGACAGTTTAGTGATTTTAACTCCAGATGATTCTGCTGATAATCACAGCGTGCTGCCAAATACTGTCTCAGGTTGTGAATTCTGATTCTACTGTAAACGGAAGCAGCTCAGTGGAGACTGGAGCAACACAGAGTCTCACCCAGAAGGTTAAAGCTCAGCTTTCTGCCTCCTCCACCGTGTGCAGGAGATGATTTCTCATCATTGTTGGTGGAACAATGAAGTCAATCTGCACACGATGACGGTTCTCCTTCTGCAGCTGCTGCTTCACGCCGACTCCTCCAAGGTTCAGTCAAACGTTTGTGTAATGTTTTGTGTTCTGAATGAGACGAACGTGAGCTTTTTTAGTACAACTATGCAAATGCCTAAAATCTTCTCGACTTGTGGTCCAACATCTTCAGAACAACCTCTGAAACGCTGTGAACTGTACGTTCATGTGTGTGTTCTCGTTTTGCAGCATTTTTTACTGAAGAAATAAACCTGAAGAGTGAAACAAACAGTTTTTAGATCCTGCTTCATCTGTTAATCAAACTGAACTGAGAGGATGCTGAAGATAGATAGATAGATAGATAGATAGATAGATGGATGGATGGATAGATAGATAGATAGATAGATAGATAGATAGATAGATAGATGGATAGATAGATAGATAGATAGATAGATGGATGGATGGATAGATAGATAGATAGATAGATAGATAGATAGAAGGACAGGTGGATGGATGGATCATCTGTCGTATATACTACAGGGTATTTTATTATTTTTACACATCTAAATATCCGTCATTGAAGTGACATAAAATTAAGGCTAAAAAAACATTAAAATTTCAAGAAATCACAGTATTTTATGAGGTTATTTTTATTTATTATACCACATTTTTTTGCTGCTAGAATAAAACTTCTTTCCTTTTTTTATTATTGTATTTTGTGCTTTTATGTCCAGTGTTAATAGGAAACTACTCACTACTGATGCTCAGTGCTTCAATATTAACCTCAAGGTTCCTGCTGGTGTTTTAATCAGATTTGAGACATTTCTGAGTAAATATATGATATAAACATCCTGGTTCTGTATTTGAAAAGACGTCTGAATCTTTAAATACACCATAATTTAGTGCTACCATCCTAAAAGCTTCAGATAACGAGGGATTGATGTAAAATAAATACCTAAATATTATAAATCTGCTTTGTGGAAATACCCGTGTTCGCCACCAGGCTGCAGCAGAGAGTCACGTTTCTTCTTCTTCTTCTCCACCTCCTGCAGGTGAAGTTTTATCCTTTCTGCAGATCGTTCATGATCTTAACTGCATCTTCAGATCGTCCTGAGCGGTTGATGGACTCTGACGGATGTTGAGCTGATCCTCTGGAGGTACATCAGCGGCTGTTTAATCAGGCTGCAGCTGATCGATCACCTGAGCAGGACGGTTTTAGGTTTTACAGCCGGAAACTGGAGGCCGGATCCAGGCCTACGTACCCACCATGGCTTCCATTAGCCGAGGCCATCGGTGGGTTAGACATGATGGAGAGCTCCAACACCTGCCGTCAGTATTGATCCCTGTCGACACACTCGGAGACTCGAGCTTCGGCTGTGAGGAGCTCTGAAGGAGGGACGCCTGCCAGAGCTCGTAAAGCTCCTTCACCGGCCATTGAGCCTCCGACTAATGTGGCCTGTAGCGCAGAGCGCCAGTGATCACGGGACAATATTGTCTCACGTCTTTCCTCATGTTTAATCTTCTTCTTTTATGTTTTCATGGTTTGCTGGTTAAGCTTCTCCCCGGAGACTTCTACAAGGTTCAGCCTCCAGACCGGCCGACAGCGGCGAATAAAAACCGTCTCATCCTGAGAAAACGTCCAGAAGTTCAAGTCCAGATCACACCTGACAGGAAAACACGTGGATTCATCACGGCCTGTCACATGACGCAGGTCACGTGTGATAACGTCACATGTGAGATGCAGATATTTGGGCTGGTTTTTGCTTTTTAGTTTGTCAGTTACACAACAATTCATGTTTAACAGCTTTTACAGTCAACTGCGTTTTTTTAATTATTATTTACTGTAATTTTTTTGACAATTTGTTTTGTTAAATTTCAGATAATAAATAGTAAAAATCACAGAAAAAAGGATGCATTTACACCTTAACTCTAAAATAATAGTAATAAAAGAAAATAAAGAAAAACTGTAAATTTAGTATTTTTACCAACAGCGATAGTTCTTGTGTGATCACAAAATATATCATGATTTAACAAAATTTTAATTTTTTTTTTAGCTAAAAATTGTGAATATTAGGGATTGAAAAAGGACATTTTTTTATTTTATTTTATGTTATTTAATTTTTTTTATCACAGATTTTCACAGAAATAAGGGATTCATTTATACCTTAACTCTAAAAAAAATAAAAGAAAGAAAGAAAAACTTTTTTTTCCTTTACTGTTTGATTATAAAATAACACTATTTGTACAGTATTTAAATCAGGGAAAATATATCATGATTTCACAGATTTTTACTGTTTTTTGAATTTAAAGTGGTGAATATTAGGAATTGAAAAATGAAACTTAATTTTTATTTATTTATGTATTCATTCAATCAATCGTTCATTTATTTATTTATTTATTTATTTATTTACTAGATGCTCCTTGTTTTGTTAAATTATAGTATTTCTATCATTTATACCCACAAATCACTGGAAAATGTATTATTTTGCAAATTGTCCATTTAAAAAAATCTGGGTTTTTTCAGATATGTTCTTTTATGTCATGTGACAATAAGTTTATTCTGTTTTATTGGCCTTAAATCCACCAAAAATATGATTCCACAAATGCACGTCATTATTTTCTCAGTTTTTATAGTTTTTCAGTGTTTTGTTTTTTATGTATTTTTCTGGCACCCTTGCTGCCAAACTTTATTTTTTACTTTTTTGCTATGTTTTAGTAAAGGTCATTTGCAAATGCAACTAACACCATTTTTAAAAAAACAGGAGTCAAAATAAGTCGGTGTCGTGGTCGTTTACACATTCAAACCAATCTAAAACATTGACCGACCTGAGAAACTAGAGCAACGCCACAACGTTTATACGCATCTGAACCGATGAATTACTGTCTTCTGTAAACACTGGAAAGCAAATCACCTGCTGCCAGCTGTCATGACGAAGCATCAGGACCATGATCGGCTGAACTGCAGGCAGCGTTTGAACCACGCAGGTCAGGAGATGATGCAAACTGTAAAATGTCTTTAATACGTCAAGTCAGCTTTTGTTTTTCCATCTTCGATGACATCTGGGAAAATGTGGCACCTGCTGAATCCTGACTGTTTTATAGAACAGATACTCAAACAAGTTCAACTTTATTATTATCATTCTAATGATTCATGGCTTTGTGTGTTTCCATGGAGGTTCAGGACTTCATGCTGCAATGAGAAGTGAGTTTGGTGTTCAGAGGGTTAAACAGAAGAAGAAGAGAGAAGCTGAGGACGTGCAGGTAGCCTTCCACAGCATCATGTCGCCTCACATCCACTGTTGTGACAGCAGCTGACATCCGTCTCTGAGCGACACTTTATCTGCACCGAGCACCTTCCGTCGCCGCCAGGGCGTCCGCTCGCCGCACGCCGGAGGTCAGCCGGAGGTCAACCCAAGGCTCCGAGAACACAAACGCACGTAAGCAGAGAATCCCCGCGTGTGGCGCCGTGAATAATTCATCCTGATTTGTTAAAAAGTGGCGTCAATAATTCATGGGCGACACAGAATCGTGTCTCCGGAGCGAGTTACGTAACACGCGAAGCAAACCGAAGGCCTCGCACGCCGAAGCCAAGACGTCCTGCTTCAGCCTGCAGAAACCCGGCGCTTCCTTCGGTGTGTTTGCTGCTCGGCGGCTCTGCAGGTCGTTCGGGTCGAACACCGCCTAACCTGATTAGAGACGAGCAGCTTTGGCCTCCGTCGTGGCAGTAATATACTTACAGAGCCTCTAAATGCAGCTGGGAACAAGAGCAGTTGGTAAAAGCCAATAAAGTGGAGCCACACAAGTTCACGGACGCTCTGCTGATGGAGCAATATGAGGACCTTGGGTTATAAATTGGACATCAACCATTTTTTAAAGGGTTTACGGGAGCGGAGCAGCTTCATCACGACAAACACACCGAAGACAAACAGCACATCGTTTATCTGATAAATGATGACTCTCAGTTTGCAGTGTTCTGTTTGTTTACATGTGAAATTGAGGAAATATTCAGTCAATATTCTTAATTTTGTGTTCTTAGCATCCTGTGTTCTCCTGTTCTTCTCATTTATTTAGTGTTTATAGTGTACATACCTCGTCTCTTCAACCTATAGTTGTGCTTTCTTACTTTTTTTTAGTGTCGCTTTGCTGCTGTGATGTCGGAAATGTCGCCTTGTGGGACCAAGAAGAGATATTCTATGTTCTATTCTATTCTGAAGATCAATTAATCTGCTTCATCCCTAAAATCAATGATAATCAGAATCTTTATCAGATTTCTACAACAGCTTCTGCTCGACCGTCTCTGATTTGTCTTTTTTTATAGCATAAAAATCTAACTCGAACTCTTAATTTCCTGTTGAATTATTTCCAGAAATTTGAGGCAGTTTGAACGACGACATCTCAGGAATTTTAAAAGATAAAAACCTGAAACTTTCACTCTTATTTCTCACCTGGGCGTCGATTGGCAGCCGACTCACCTGGACAGGTAACCAGTCTATCACAGGGCTACACTTAGAGACAGACAACCAAGCACACTCACATTCACACCTACAGACAATTTACAATCACCAATTAACCTCAACATGTTTCTGGACTGTGTGGGAGGAAGCCGGAGAACCTGGAGAGAACCCACACTGCACGGGGGGAACCTCACGTGAGTAAAAATGTGACAGAAACGTACTTGGGGTTAATTCAAGCAACGTTTCTCGAGCAACTTTCAAACTCTTGCACAAAGTACACATGAAAATGTAAATTAGAAATGGTCACAAATTGGGATTTAAACAATAATTTACAAACAACGACACACTGGAGGGATCAGATGTCGGGGGAAAGAAGCCATTGAGAACCTGCTGGCTTTAAAAAGCTGAATCAAACGTGGCACTGACTCAACCTGACCTAGTTTCAGAGCGTTGGAGCTAAAACAGTCGCCATCCATCGTCGTCTCCGGAGCCTCAGCTGTGAAACTTTTAACAGCAGTCGGTTTCCAGACCTGAGCCGCCTCGACAGCGAACATCAGGGGAAGAAATCTGAGTTTAATGCAGCAGGTTGGTGAGGACAGGTTTAAAGAGTGACCAAACAAAACCATAACCGCACTGATGACCTCGAACTGACCAGTAGGACGAGAGTCTTGGATAAGTTTGAATATTCTCAAAAACAAATCCCTTCAAAGGGTGTCAGGAGTTTGATTCTCTTAGTTTTAGAAAGACAGGGCCAAACAAAAACCAAGAGCCACAACTGAATTCTGCTGAAAAATCCAGTTTAATGATTCACTTTTCAGATCTTTGCTGATC